TCCACCCGCCTCGGCCTCCCAAAGTGCTGGGATTACAGGCTTGAGCCACCGCGCCCGGCTCTTTTTTTTTTTTTTTTTTTTTTTTAAGACAGGGTCTCACTCTGACACCCAGGCTGGAGTACAGTGGTATGATCATAGCTTGCTTAAGCCTTGAACAACTGGGCTCAAGCTATCCCCCAACCTCAGTTTCCTGAGTAGCTAGGAGTACAATTGAGTACAACTACACCTGGCTAATTTTTTTTTTTTAATGTTTTATAGCGACAGGGGCCTCACTATGTTGCCCAGGCTGGTCTTGAATGCCTGGCCTTAAATAATTCTCTAGCCGTCTCCCAAAGCACTGGGGTTACAGGCAGGAGCCCCTACCCCCAACCAGATCATTTCTCAAATGTGATTGGGTGATCTGCATCCATCCCTGGGGTGCTTGTTTAAAATGCAGATCCCTGGACCCTCCCCCAACCGATTGAGTCAGAACATCTGGAGTTCCGCATCTTAACAAGCTCCCTAGGTGATGCTGCTGGGCCTCCAAGTTGGAGAACCTCTGTAGTTGAAGAAATCCAGACTCCTTGGGGACTCAAATCTTATTTCAGATCTTCTTTGGATTAGTTTGACTTCAGCCTAGGTGTAAAATGGGTACACATTTTACATGTCTGTGATGCCAGGATGCACTCACAGGGGAGAGAGGGCTTTACAAGAGGTCAGAATCTAAGCCACCACTACAGTTGTACCAGATCCATGGAGAAAGACAGCCAGGCCTCATTTCCTCATGGTTCTCTCTTCCCTTACCTAGCTTTATGGTTCTTCACGGCACTGAGCACCACCAGGCTGTGCATTTTTGAGTTTGTTTGAATTTCATAAGGCCAGGGACTATGTTTTATTTAGAACTGTCCCCCACTTCCTAGAACAGTGCCTGGTACACACAGGTGCTCAATAAATGTTTGTGGAATGATTGAATGAAAGTTGTTCCTGCATAGATTCCACCTGCCTAGAGCAAAGCCAGGACACGGATTGGGATGAGCACATAGCATATGCCAGACATGGCTCTGAGTGCTTTACCTGCATCATCTCACTTCATATGTGACAGCCAAATGGCCCCCAGTGACTTTCACCAACTGGTATTCACGCCTTCGTATAGTTTCCTCCGACCCTGAGCTGGGCTGAGCAGTGTAAATGATATTGTAAAATGAGAAAGTATGACTTTTAAGGTTAGGTCATAAAATATGTTATGGCTTCTGCCTATAATCCCAGCACTTTGGGAAGCCAAGGAGGGTGGATCGCTTGAGGTCAGGACTTTGAGACCAACCTGGCCAACATAGTGAAACCTCATCTCTACTAAAAATACAAAAATTAACCAGGCGTGGTGGCGTGCACCTGTAGTTCCAGCTGCTGGTGGTGGTGGTGGTGGGGGGGGGTGCTGAGGCAGGAGAATCACTCCAACTGGGGAGGTGGAGGTTGCAGTGAGCCAAGGTTGCACCACTGCACTCCAGCCTGGGTGACAGAGTGAGACTCCATCTCAAAAAGGAAAAAAAAAAAAAAAAAAGAGTTTTCAAGCAAAAATTGAGCACATTTATCACCAGACAACTATCCCTATGGAGAATTCTAAAATAGCAGTTCTGAAACTTGGCTTCTCATTGCAAACACCAGAGAGCTTAACAAAAATTCCTGACACCTGGCTCCTATCCTCAGACATTCCGAATCAATTGATATGAGATATGGCTTAAGCAACAGTTTTTTTCCCCACTTGGCAACATCCTTTTACAGAAGGCAAGCATCAAGATTTTTTAAAAGCTTCCCAGGCTTTGGTCAGGTGTAGTAGCTCACGCCTGTAATCCCAGCACTTTGGGAGGCCTAGGTGGGAGAATTGCCTAAGCTCAGGAGTTCGAGACCGCCCTGGGCAACATAGTGAAATCCTGTCTCTACTAAGTACAAAAAATTAGCTGGCCATGGTGGCATGCACCTGTATTCCCAGCTAGTCGGGAGGCTGAGGCACGAGAATTGCTTGAGTCCCAGAGGCAGACGTTGCAGTGAGCCGAGATTTTGCCACTGCACTCCAGCTTGGGCTACAGAGTGATACTCTGTAGCGCCCCCCACCCCAAAAGAAAGCGTCCCCAGGCTATTCAAATGTACAAAATGTACAGCCAAGGTTGAGAAACATTGTCTAAAGGGATGTGTTTCAGGCAAAAGGAAAATTACCCCAGATGAAGGTCTGAGAGTCATTCATTCATTCAACATAGGGAGCTTCCATTTTGTGTTTGGAACTGTTCTAGACACCAGGAACACAGCAGTGAGCAAAACAGACCAAAGTCCCTGCCCTCTAGGAGAGGAAAACAGGCCCAAAACAAGATAAATAAGTAAAATATGCTCCGTTAGACAGTAATAGATGCTGAGAAGAAACAGAAGAAGCCAGGAAGGCGGATGTGAAATGCTGGTTACGTGTGTGTCTGTGAAATTTCAGATGGAGTAGCTAGGGAAGATTTTTGGGTAAAGGCCAATATAAAGGGAAGGAGCAAGGCATGCAGACGTTTGGGTTACGGCAGGTGCAAAGCCCTAAGGCGGGAGTGTGTCTGGCTTACTCCAGGACCAGCAGGCCAATGGGACTTGAGTGAGGCAAGGGCAGGGCAGTCAGCTACGGAGACAGAGGTCGGGAGGCAGTTTGCAAGCCCCGGGGAGGATCTCGATTTTTGCTTTAAGTGAGATGAAAGTATTTGAGTGGGGGAGTGGCATGAGTTCGATTTACATTTTAACTGGACTCAGCTGGGTGGAAATGAACAGTAGGGGGCAAAAGGAGAAGCAAGGAGCCCCAGGAAGAGGCTGGTTCAGGACACCCGAGATGACGGAGCACTGATGGAGCTGGAGCGGGATGGGGCTGGAGGCGGTGAGGGATGAGATTCTGCAAGTGGAGCCGGCAGGATCTGCTGATCGATGGGACGAGGAGTGGAAGAAAAATTAAAGCAGGGCAGGAGGCAGACGAATGCAAACTTCACCCACAGCTCAATGAAAAGACAGTAACCGCTGAGAGGCAGCGTCGGACCTGGGGCCTGGATTCAAACCTCAGCTGAGTGGCCTTGGACAGGTCATCAACACACAGAGACTTCGTGTATGCAACTGCAAACTGAGCCAAGGACCGGGCCTGCCCCGCGGTGTGCCTGAAGCTTGGGTGGGCAGGCGCCGGGTTCGCAGGGCACGCTCCCAACCAGTTCCCAGCAGCTCAACGCTGCGGGTCCCGCTGCCCTCCAGCCCGGGCTCCAGCTCCTGCTCAGGCTCCGGCTCCTGCTCCTGCCCGCCGCCCCGCACCAGCCCCCGGCTCCGCCCACCCCGCCTCCCGGCCCCGCCCCCTCGGGCGGTGCTGCAGCGTGACGGACAGGGTGAGCCTGGGGGTGTCCGGGGATCGGCGGTCAGCTCCGGAGGACGGGGTGGGGTCGCCCCGAACAGGAGCGCCGGGACTGCTGGGACCCCGCGCTCGGGCAGTGGGGGTCCCGGATGAGGCGACAAGTTTTCCGGTCCCCTTCCCAGTCCCGCCCCACTTCCGGGGCCGCCACTTTCACTTTCTTTTCCGCGGAAGCCGCTCTCCTTGCGAAGGACTGGGGCCTCCCGGGAGGAGGGGGCTTTGCCTTGAAACCCGGGACGCCAGGGGCGCTCCCGCAAGTGGGGGTCCTCCGGGACTTGGAGCGCCCCCGCTGGGCGGCGTCCCGGCGTCCTTTCCCCGCTTCTCCCCACCTCGGCTGGTCTCGTTTCCTCTTGCGCCCATTGCGGACTTGTCTGGGCATCCCCTGCCCTCTCACCGCCCCACGCGGGGTCCCGGCCTGGTCCCCGGGCGGTGTGATGCTTCCCGACTGCCGCGGGTACAACGAGGCACAGACAGGGCTTGGGCCGCGCCGGAGGCCACAAGGCCTGGCTGAGTTGCTCCTGGTGTCCCGCCCCTCCCAGGCGACCCGGAGGTAGCGTTTCCCGGAGCCACGGCCCCCCCCCAGGGGGATGGGCGCAGCCACGACAGATGGACGAGAAGACCAAGAAAGGTGGGCACAGGCCGGAGGTGACTGGGGAACGTCCAGTGGGAAGTGGGCCCCGCAGGACCTGGCCCTTCCTGCCCAGAAGGGCCTGGGTGAGGGGGCTTTAGCCTGCCCTCCCTCTGCCCGCCTCCCATCAGCTTCCCCCTTTGGGACCTGCTGGCTTCCAGAGGCATCTTGGGGCCCTGAAACCTCCTTGGGCCAGCTCTGTGCTGAGATGGGGCTAGGGGACTCCCAGAGGACACAGGGCATCGAACTTGGAGACTCCCTGGGCTGGTGGGGGACGGAACTCAGTTAATCTGAGTAGCAGGGGTCCTTGCCTCTTCTTTTTCCCCCTGCATCTAGGGTTGTAGAACAGAGGTCAGTCCCTGCCTTGCTGGAAGCCCTCCCATTGCCCTCTGTTCTTAGAACAAAGCCCAGAGCGCCTGGGTGGCCCATAGGACAGCTCTCCTCAGTCAGCCCGCTATGCTCACTCTAGTGGAGCCCCACTGGCTTCCTTCGGTTCTCATCCAACCATTTCTTGCCCAAGGCCCTTACTCTTCTTTCCACTTGGACCACTCTTCCCCACTGGGACTTGACATGTGCGGCTTCTCCTCCTTCAGGTCTCAGCTTCAGTGTTACCCCCTCCCAAAGGCCTTCCCTGGTCTTAACCTGTTTATTTCCCTGCCAGCAAGGATCACAATCTGACTTTTTTTTTTTCTTGTTTAACTTGTTTTTTGTCTCCCCACTGGGCAGGGAGATCCCTAAGGAGAGGGACCCTGTTTATCTGAATCACTGTGGGATCCCAGTTCCTGGGACAGTGGGTGGCACACAGTAGGAGCTCAATAACTGCTTGCTGGATAAATGAATAGAAGTATGAGGGACCCTGGGAATATGAAGGACAAACAGAACCAAATGAGCCTAGAGTGAGGAGGAGTGGGGAATATCAGAGAACCTCTCCCAGAGAAAGGGACTTTGAGTCACTGAAGGATGTGTAGGAGTTTACCAGGAAGACAGAGAAAGCAGCACAAAGATCATCTCCTTTCCTGCCCCATTAACCCCAGCTCCTGAAAATAAACCTGTGCTTAATTGGCTCCTGCTGTGCTGGCTTTTAGCAGAGGAAATGGCCCTGAGCCTCACCCGAGCCGTGGCAGGCGGGGATGAACAGGTGGCAATGAAGTGTGCCATCTGGCTGGCAGAGCAACGGGTGCCCCTGAGTGTGCAACTGAAGCCTGAGGCCTCCCCGACGCAGGACATCAGGTGAGGAGTGCACGGCTGGCCTGAACCCTAGGGGCAGCAGGACAGGACATTCTTGCCTGTAGAACAGTTCTTCCTAATGGCAGGTGCAGGCCTCAGGAGGCGTGGCTTCTAATCCTAATTATGTCACTAATCAACTGTGAGATAGAGGGCAGGTCACTTCACCTCTTGGAGTGTCCTCATTTTCAAAATTGGATCGTAACAGTAGCTATCTCATAGGGTTGTTAGGAGATATACCATATTAGGATGTTGGGCCTTATACAACAGAAAAAAAGGCAACAGTGATGTAAAGAAATTTGATGTCAAGAGAGTCCACGTGGGGAGGTTCTGCTCCCCACAGTCCTCAGAGGCTCATGTTGCTTCTCTCACTATTCTGCCATTAATTCCCAGATTCCTCAGGTGCAAAATGGCCATTCCAGCTGCATCCAGCCATCACATCAGGAGGAAGGGAAGAAAGGCACCCCTCCATACTATGTTCTAAAGAACATAGCTCAAAAGTTGTACACTCTTCTTCCATTAATTCCTATGGACCAGAACTGATTCCCACAGCTATGGTTCAGCTTTAGGGGATTCTGTATAGCCAGATATTCATCTAGAATAGTAAAGCAGTAGTTTTATAGTTTCTGATTTTCAATTCTCTTGGTGGGTCCCATTTGATTTTTCTTAAAAGTTTATCCATACAATTCAGCCATTTAAAGTATATAGTTCAATGGCTTTCAGTATATTCAGGGTTGTGCAACGATTGCCACAATCAATTTTAGAACATTTTCATCATCCTGTAAAAAAAAATCTGATACTCATTAGCAGTCAGTCCCTATCACTCTACCTTCTCCCTAACCCCTTAACCTTAGGCAACCACTAATCTACTTTTTATCTCTAGGGATCTTCCTTATCTGGAAATTTTATATAAGTTGAATCATGCAACATGTGGCCTTTTGTGTCTGGCTTCTTTCACTTAGCATCATGTTTTCTAGATTCATCCATGTTGTGGCAGGTATAATAACTTCATTCCCCTTTTTTTTGACAAGGGATCTCACTCTGTTGCCCGGGCTGAAGTGCAGTGGATTACAGTATATTCAGGGTTGTGCATATGTGTCTAGGTTGAAGTGCAGTAGAAGCGATGGATTACATTGCTCACTACAGCCTGAACTTCCTGAGCTTAAGCAATTCTCCTGCCTTGGCCTCTCTAGTAGCTGGGACTATAGACATGTACCACCACACCCAGCAATTTTTTAAAAATTTCTTTGTAGACAAGGTCTTGCTGTGTTGCCTAGGCTGGTCTTGAGCTCCTGGCTCAAGCAATCCTTCCACCTCAGCCTCTCAGAGTGCTGGGATTATAGGTGTGAGCCACCATGCCCAGCCAGAACTTTATTCCTTTTTATTGCCAAATAATCATCTATTTTATGGACAAACCTCATTATCTTATTAAATTAGTCGATGAACATTTGGATGTTTCTATTTTTTGGCTTTTATAAATAATGCTACCCTGAACATTTGTGGCCAACTTTTTGTGCGGACATGTTTTCATTTCTCTTGGGTATATACTAGGAGTGAAATTTTTGGGACATATGGTAACGCTATGTTTAACCCATTGAAGAACTGCCAGACAGTTTTCCAAAGTAGCTACACTACTTTACATTCCTACCAGCAAGTATGAGGTTTCTAGTTTCTCCACATCCTCTCTTACACTTGTTATTTGTCTTTTTGATTATAACCATCCTAGTAAGTTTGAAGAGTTATCTCGTTATGGTTTTGATTTGCAATTTTCTAACCATTTGATGACAAATGATGTTAAGCATCTTTTCTTGTGCTTATTTGCCATTTATATTTTCTTTAGAGGTTTGCCTGTTCAGGTCTTTTGCCCATTTTTAAATGGGTTTATCTTTTCTTTGTTTGTTTCTTTCTTTCTTTCTTTCTTTCTTTCTTTTTTGAGATGGAGTCTCACTCTGTGACTCAGGCAGGAGTGCAATGGCATAGTCTTGGCTCACTGTAACCTCTGCCTCTTAGGTTCATGTGATTCTCCTGCCTCAGCCTCCTGAGTAGCTGGGATTACAGGTGCCTACCACCACACCCAGGTAATTTTTGTATTTTTAGTAGAGATGGAGTCTTACCATGTTAGCCAGGCTGGTCTTGAACTCCTGAGCTCTGGTGATCCACCCTCCTTGGCCTCTCAAAGTGCTGGGATTACAGGCATGAGTCACCGCGCCTGACCAGGCTTATCTTTTTATTACTGAGTTGTAGGAGTACTTTATTCATTTTAGATACAAGTGCCTTATCAGCTACATGATTTGCAAAATTCTTCTCTCATTCTGTGGGTTGTCTTCTCACTTTGTTGATGGTATCCTTTGAAGTACATAAGTTTTAAATGTTGATGATGTCCAGTTAGTCTATGTTTTCTTTTGTCGTTTGTGCTTTTGGTGTCATATCTAAGAAATCATTGCCTCATTCAAGGTCATGAAGATTTACCTCTATATTTTCTTCTAAAGATTTTATAGGTTTAGCTCTTACATTAGGTCTTTGGTCCATTTTGATTTAATTTTTGTATATGATGTGGGATAAGGGTCCAGCTTCATTCTTAAGCTGTAGATATTGAGTTGTGCCACCACTATTTGTTAAAAAGACTATTTTCCCCTGTTTAATGATCTTAACCCTTTTTGAAAATTAATTGATCATAAATATGAGTGCTTATTTCTGGATTCTCATTTCTATTCCATTGAACTATAATATGTCTGCCCTTATGCCAGTACCACACTGTTTTGATTACTATAGCATCATAGTATTTGAAATCAGGAAATACAAGTTCTCCAACTTTAGTTCTTTTTCAATATTGTTTTGGTTATTACAAGCCTCTTGAATTTTCATATAAATTTTAAGATCAGCTTGTCTGTTTCTGCAAACAACAACTAGGATTTTGGTTGGGATTGCATTGAATCTGTAGATCATTGGCCACTTGATTTTAAACAAAATATTGATATATCTACTTCTTGAAATGGTTGTTTGAGACAGTACCTGTGTGTGGCCGGGTGCGGTGGCTCACGCCTGTAATCCCAGCACTTTGGGAGGCTGAGGTAGGTGGATCACGAGGTCTGGAGTTTGATACCAGCCCGACCAAATGGTGAAACCCCATCTCTACTAAAATTACAAAAATTATCCAGGTGTGGCGGCCTGTGCCTGTAATCTCAGCTACTGAGGAGTCTGAGGCAGGAGAATTGCTTGAACCTGGGAGGCAGAGGTTGTGGTGAGCCGAGATTGTGCCACTGCACTCCAGCCTGGGCAACAGAGTGAGACTCAGTCTCAAACAAACTAACAAACAAAAAATAAAAACAAAAACAGACAGTACCTATGTACTCCTTGCTGTGAAAAATGAGGAAGTTAACATTCTCATCTTCGGCCGGGCGCGGTGGCTCAAGCCTGTAATCCCAGCACTTTGGGAGGCCGAGGCGGGTGGATCACGAGGTCAAGAGATCGAGACCATCCTGGTCAACATGGTGAAACCCCGTCTCTAC